CGAAGACTTTTTTGAAGTCAAGATATATGACATCAATCTCTTCCCCCTTGTCCAGGTGATAGGTCACCTGGTCGTAAAAGGAAATGAGATTGGTCAAGCAAGACCTACCCGTAACAAACCCGTGCTGGGTATCTCTCAGGATATTGCTGTCGGCTAGTCTGTTAAGGATGGCCTCTTTCATAATCTTTTCCAAGATCTTCCCCAGGATAGAGGTCAGGCTGATGGGCCTGTAGTTTGAGAAACATCTATGGATGTAAGCCAGCGTTTTGCTTGCATTACTAGCTGCCTCCTGTCCCCCCCTCTTTAATTGACATTCCTATTAACAGTTTTACCGTTCAATATTTATCTGGTCTTTTTAGTATAGCTTTTGTAGTATGGCTACATATGTTCTCTAAGGGATTATTCCACACAGTTAATCAACCAGACTGTGATTAAAGTTAATCTGAAAATTATTTTGTGTACTGTCCTTTGGGGCTACCTACCCTCAGTCTGGACGCGTAACAGTATGAAGTTACTATTTATGTTTAAAGTTGCTATTTATGTTTACTTCAGTCATTTCCACTTGTAATTTTTTTTTTTCACTTTAGCAAGGCAGAATTGTAGTTATACTGAATACTTTTCATATGGAACTGCCTCTTTTTCCAATTAAATGAGTTCTTGGTACCCTTTCTGGGGCTTAAAACGTGTTCATATTCTCTCTCTTGTACTTAAATCTATCTTAAAGTAGTAATAATTGCTTACTCTGCTGAACTAAGGAATTAATAAAGCTAATCATCTGAGGAATACTATAGGTATCTTTGAAATGACTGCAATTTACTTTACCAGAAAGGAAGTGTATATCTTCTACAAAAATAAGGATGAAAATGAGAAAAAATGAAATTACTGTAAAAGATCAGAGGGGTGAAATATGACTTTTTAATCCGGAACTGGAAGGAGTGACCAAGAAAAAAAACGTATTTTATATAGTGAAATACTAAAGGTAATTTAAATTTCATAATTTTTCTCCTCAACTCCCATATTCACCCAAAAAATAAGGAATGTACATGCTTCCAAATAAGCAAGTCAAGTTATATCATTTGTTTTTTTTTTTTTTAAATAAACTACTACCAAGATACAGAAAAAGCATTTACATATGCAGCACATACAATAGTGGTTGGTTTGGGGTTTTTTTTTTTTG